ATCAGATCTGTCATTTATGAATATATTCTCCCATACTGTAGGATACCTTTTTGTTCTATTGATGGTATCCTTTGCTGTACAGAAGCTTTTCAGCTTAATATAGTCCCACTTGTTCATTTTTGCTTTTGTTTCTCTTGCATGGGGAGATATGTTCAAGAAGAGGTCACTCATGTTTATGTCTAAGAGATTTTTGCCTATGTTTTTTTCTAAGAGTTTTATGGTTTCATTACTTACATTTAAGTCTTCGATCCATTTCGAATTTACTTTTGTGTTAATTACTTTTGTGTTAATGGGGTTAGACAGAGATCCAGTTTCATTCTCTTACATGTAGCTGTCCAGTTTTGCCAGCACCATCTGTTGAAGAGACTGTCATTTCCCCATTGTGTGTCCATGGCTCCTTAATCATATATTAATTGACCATATATTTTTGGGTTAATGTCTTGAGTCTCTGTTCTGTTTCTCTGTTCTTGTGCCAGTACCAAATTGTCTTGATTACTGTGGCTTGTAGTAGAGCTTGAAGGTGGGGAGCGAGATCCCCCCCACTTTATTCTTCCTTCTCAGGATTGCTTTGGCTATTCGGGGTCTTTGGTGGTTCCATATGAATTCTTGAACTATTTGTTACAGTTCATTTAAGAATGCTGTTGGTAATTTGATAGGGATTGCATAGAATCTGTGTATTGCTTTGGGCAGGATGCCATTTTGACAATATTAATTCACCTAGCCAGGAGCATGGGATGAGTTTCCATTTGTTAGTGTCCTCTTTAATTTCTCTTAAGAGTGTCTTGTAGTTTTTAGGGTATAGGTCTTTCACTTCCTTGGTTAGGTTTATTCCTAGGTATTTTATTCCTTTTGATGCTATTGTGAATGGAATTGTTTTCCTGATTTCTCTTTCTATTGGTTCATTGTTAGTGTATAGGAAAGCCACAGCTTTCTGTGTGTTAATTTTATATCCTGCAACTTTGCTGAATTCCTATATTAGTTCTAGTAGTTTTGGTGTGGAGTCTTTAGGGTTTTTTATGTACAAGATCATGTCATCTGCAAATAGTGACAGTTTAACTTCTTCTTTACCAATCTGGATTCCTTGTATTTCTTTGTTTTGTCTAATTGCTGTGGCTAGGACCTCTAGTACTATGTTGGATAACAGTGGGGAGAGTGGGCATCCCTGTCTTGTTCCTGATCTCAGAGGAAAAGCTTTCAGCTTCTCACTGTTCAGTATGATGTTGTCTGTGGGTTTGTCATATGTGGCCTTTATTATGTTGAGGTACTTGCCCTCTATACCTATTGTGTTGAGTGTTTTAATCATGAATGGATGTTGAATTTTGTCGAATGCTGTTTCAGCATTTGTGGAGATGAAAGGATGCCTTTTTAATTGCAATTACATATGCTGTCTGAAGTCAGCAAGCTCCCCTGAGCCCCGGCCCAGGGGCCTTGCACAGCCCAGACCCAACAGTGTGCCTCACTGCCCAATGTGGGCTGGGGCACAGCTGCTGTGCTTCAACCTGCTGTGTCCCTGAGGGGCTGCCATCTCCTTTGCAGGTGACCCAGCCTCCAGGGCCCAGGACAGGGGAGGCAGGCGAGGGCGAAGTGGCAAGTGCTCCCTCCTCTGCACATACATGCAGACTTTGCCAGTGTTTGCTTTCGTTCCCCTTCTCCTTTGCTAAAATAGTCAGGTGGCACTGTGAAGCCACTGCTGGGCAGGCATGGGCAGCATGGCAGTGCACCTACTTCTGTATCTAGAACAGGAAGAGCAGCAGGTTGATGTTCTTGGCACTGAGCAGCTTGTTGCACTCCACGAAGTCAACGATGGGCAGTGGCACATAGTCCGTCTCATTGCTCTCGTTGGTGAAGACAAAGTGGTAGATGATGGGGCTGATCTTCACTTCATCATAAGGGCCCTTGAGCAGCAGGAAGGACCACTCCAGAGGCACCGTGACCTTGCTCTTGAGGAAAAGCTGGAAGGAGAGAGTGCGTTTGTACGACAGGTTGGGGTTGCATTCTGAGTCGTTAATGCGTGCCTTCCGGACCCAAGTCTGGCTCAGCACCATGAACCGCAGTGTCTTGTAGTACAAGTGCGTGATGAAGTCCATGCAGTACAGCTAGAACTGGACCTCTGTGCAGCCGATCTTCTCAAAGCTGAGAAGGCTGAAGATACTGTTGTAGAGCTGCATGTCCTTGCCGTGGCTCTGGTCCATCTTGTCCAGGATCTCCATCAGCTTGTTTCCTGTCTTGGTCGGGTGAGCACATGCAGACTCATGCACTGTCAGCTCGTGGAAGCGGCCATGCCACGGCAGCCGATACGCTTGTACTTGCACTGGGTCACCCTGTCCTGGCACTCCTCTTTCTGGTGCCTCCCCAGGAGGGAGCGGGAAAACTGACGCAGGCAGAAGCCGCACTCGGACAGCAGCTCGCTCACAGCTTTCTCCACAGCCAGGTTGCGGCAGCAGAGGCTCTTACTGATCTCACAACGACAGCTGGGGAACGTGGCTTGCTCCTCCTTCAGCCGGGCGTCTGCTCGTAGGTGGATAAAACAGCCAGCGCACATCAAGTGACCATTAGTACGGCATGGCTCCCCAGTCTGAGGAGCAGGGGGAAAAAGCCCCAGCAGCCAAGGCCACTTCCTGGTACACGGAGGCCTTGGGCAGGTCCAGGCAGACGGTGCAGCACAGCCGCGAGTAGAGCCACTCCTCCAGCTTCCTGCTGCCGCCGCCACCTCAGCCGACCGCAGTCGCTTCTTGGGCGGCGTGTCGGGGTCACCGGCCGCCTCCTGCAGCTGCTGGACAGTGGCCAGGCCCGCCTCGTCCGGGAGCCCAGGCCCGCCGCTGCCCCCGCGGCCCCCTTGGCGCCGGATGTCACAGCCGGCCGGCCTGGCGGGTGGATGCCGGCGCGCTCCCGCGGCTGGGGGTCGGGGGCGCCGCGCGCTCCCGCTGCCCTCTCGCCGCCGCCGCTGCCGCCGCGACCCATAGCCCCGCTCCCAAGCCGCCGCCTCAGTTGGTCCAGCCCGAAAGTCGCCCCACAGCCACCGAGGCCACTGACCCTGGCACGGCCACCATCTTTGTTTTCTTTTTTTTTTACCTTTAAAATTTTTTTTAGTACTCTCTGAAGAATCAAAATAGTTAGCAAATTACTTTAATTCATCAAGATGGCATAGCCTTTGTATTTAGATATTTAATGATGTATAACAATACAAACCAAACCAGAGAGACTCGTTTCTATGAGTAGGTGTTACTCGCGGTGTCATCCTAGAGCAGGGGGCTGGAGAAAGGCTGTTTCAAGGAGAGCTGAGGTGCGTTAACGCTGGGCAACTAAATTGCAGCCTATTTCTCCCCCCACTCAGTGTGCCAGGAAGGGGCCAATGGTTTCTTAAACTGGTAACTGTTTCCTAGAGCAGGCGGCTCTAAATTCTTGGGTAGCACAGGATTGTGGTGCAAACCAAGCCAAAAGAAAGACTGGGGCGAGGAAGCATGGTTAAGTGCCTGACAGAGAGGCAAACTCGAGGCCCCACGGGGAAAAGGGCATTCTTTGCACTGCAGAGACCCTGCAGAACCAGTGTAACACTAAGAGACTTTTGTTAAAAGGGGAGAAAGAAAAACCCTGGAAAAAGAAAAAGTCCGGCACATGGTAGACCCTTGGAAAATAGAGCGTGGCTCCATTTTATGCATATTTGAATTATATTAATTCTACGTGGTATAGCATAAAATATGTTAATAAAGACTCACTTTTTAGGAAGTGTAGTATGAGGTGAGCAATCTGTCAAAATGTGAATTGTTCCAAATTTAAAAAAATAATCCATTGTAGAAAGTCCGTGATCTTACAGTTGGTTGGCCAGATAAATTAGAAGGTATGTTCATGTTAGTGCCACATGGGAGACATGCCTAATATCTTTATCATGGGTACCTTGCAGCAGTTATCTTCTGTTACCAAAGTGTTTAATTATGGAAGACCTTTGCGATGGCACGCCACTCATTAAATGGGACTACCTGTGTGTATTTATGCTCTGAATGAATGAGAGCCAGGAGGGGCGCCCTGTCATACATCTGAGGACACTGACCAGCGAGGCAGAGACCTGCCAGTATCTGGCTGCCAGGCAGTCCCGAAGCCAGGCTTTGATCTCTTGGCCTGGCACTGCATGTGCCCTGGTGCCACTGCCCCTTTTAGCTCATGGTCTGTTCCTGCGACCTGAAGGTAGGGCCTCCTGGACCTGGTGTGTTCTGTCTGCCCTGGTGCTCCAAGTCCTGCTGTGAGTCCTGCCCTTACTGCCACACCAAGGCCAATGAAATGGGTCACACCCCATCACACCTGTCCCTTTATGAGGAGATAATGCGGAGCATTAAGCATTCATTCAGTAGATGGGTCTTGATGGCTTGGTCCCTGCCCTGCTTTCTCCTTCAGACACTGTTCCTGCCCTCAGGTGATTCGTTGGGCAGGGCAGGTGCCATTACAGTTGAAGCACATTGAGTGCAGAGACCTGGGGCACCTGCTTAGCAGCTGCCTTCTGTGGCAGTAATGAGCAACGTAGGCCTGGGCCCTGTCACCACTGGGTTCTTCCAGGAAGGGTGGACACAGAGGGGTGAGTGGTAGCTTGTTTCTGGGTAGGACTGAGGAGGGGAGGCTGGAGAGAGCGAGGCACTGCAGACCTGGGTGGCCTAGGGTGGCCTGTCTGTTCCTGGGCAACAAGGTCTGAGCTGACTTGGGGTCAGGGTTATGCCTGAAGACTCTCGTGAGCCTCAGTGCCCTGCTCCTTCACCCCTGGGCCCTGAGGTTCTCTGAGTCCTGAGTGCTTGGTCCTGGTCTCTCCAAAGGCTTCACTCCCACCCATACCCCAGGGCCTGTCCTGATCCCAGCCCCTGGTCCCTCTTCCCTCAGCTCACACTGCCCACCCCTTCCCTTCCAGCAGGTGGTGAAGGCCTGTGTGTCTCTTGGCATCTCCCCTGCCTGACATGTGGGCCTCACTGTCTTCCAAGAGTCCTGGGCTTGCCTTGTGTGTCACTGAGCCTCTGGCCCCTCCCTGACCATGCAGTGAGCCTTGTGGTTGGGCCAGTGTGTGAGAGGGGGGTGGATAATGGCTAGGAGCAACTCTTGGTGGATGTGGAGGGGGTTTCTTTCCTATATATATATGTGCACAGGGCCAGGCTCCAAGAGCATAGGGAGGCTCTGAGGGGACTTTGGGGGCTAGGCCTGTACTGGCCCACTGGGAAGAGGCATGGGCTGGCTTCTATTCAGAGCCATTGGCAGAGGAGGACAGCAGGTGGAAGGAACTGAGGCCAGGGACTGACTGGCCCCCCCTGCTCCCATTTGCAGTGACATCTTGTACCCCAAGGACTCCTCTAGCCCTCACAGTGGTGTGCCTGCCGAGGTGCTCTGCAGGGGCCGAGACTTTGTTGTAAGTGTCCAGGCTGTCTGGTCTCTGGGGGCAGTGGGGAGGTTGTGGGAGGAGGTTGGGTGTGGTGCAGGGCCTCCAGGACCTTGGCCCAGCAGCAGGCAAAGGGCAGGTACGTGGGGCAGGGGCGGCTCTGGACTCTTCCCTTTCTCCTCCTCCCCCTTGGAATCGTGGAGTCTGGCTTCAAAAGAACCTCGGAGTTCTTCTATTCTAAGAGTTGCAAACCAGAGGCCCTTAGGTGGATTCTGGCCAAAAGCATGTTTCATTTGGCCTGAGTCATATTTTTAAAATGTTGACTTAAATTGGTTTTTACAATTCAAAATCATGGTACAAGCCAGATTTCTGGCTGATCATGCATACGTAATTGGCAGTGTGGTTACTGCTGGGCCACCTCCCTGGATGGTACTGACTTTGGATAGGACTGGTGACCCGCAGCTCACCCCGGGCCCTGGCTCATCTGCTTCCCCCGTGCATGCTCCCTGCATTGTTGCCATGAGCTTTTGTGGCTCCTGAGTGGCTCATCCTCCCATCCACTGCCCACCCCAGCCTTGCTGCTACCCAGAGCTCCAGTTCCTCCCAAGGACTGGAACCCTGATTTACTGGATCTGCACTGTCTCCTTGGAGCTGCCCACGGTGACCTCGATGTGCCTGTGCTCAGGCCTGATCACACATGTAGGCTTTAAGCTGTTTGAAGAGTGTCTGCATGTTGTCTTCTGATGGGATGTCCCGGCTCCTTTGGACAGTTAGTGTTTAGCTGCCTATGTGGCTTCTTTTGTCTCTGGGGGCAGAGTGCAGCAGATATGCACTCCTCGGCTCTCACCCAAAGACTACTGTTCATTAGCTGCCATGGCCTGTCAGCCTTTTTCTGTGCAGACATGGTCAAAACTGGTGGCCTGTGAGAGGGTCTAGCCAAATGAGATATTGTGGGGGATAGTCTCCTCTCCTGGTGTGTTTCTCAGGTGCCCAAATGGGTGATCTGGGGGGGCTGCAGGGTGCCATTAGCTTCTGGAGAGCAGGGCAGCCCTTCTCTTCTGTTGTGCAGAGCGTAGCACAGGAAGCCCCTCCCGTGACCTTGTCTGAATCCTCAGTGTCTTCAGAGGCATTGAGGAGAAAGTGGTGAACAAGATGGCAGGGCATCATCTGCCCCAGGGAGCTTTTCTGGTCTAGGTTGGGGTGGGGTGGTCCAGCTGCCCTCCTGAAGGAAAAGCCCCCAGAGGTCCTTTACAGAGGAGCAAGCAGAGCTCAGACTTGAAAGGACTGCCCACGGCCACACCTCCAGTAAGAATGAGGGCCGGGAGTGAGCCCTGATCACCTGGCCCAGGCTCTGAACCACTGCTCTCTGCCCTCATCCCAGGCCCCCAGGACAGCTGCAAGGGTTTGGAGAACAGTCTTAAGAATAGTTCTTCTCTTGCCTACTGGAAACATACCTTTTTTCTCCCTTAGATGTGGAAGTTCACACAGAGCCGGTGGGTGGTAAGGAAAGAGGTGGCAGCGGTGACTAAGGTAAGCCGTGGTCTGGACCTGAAGCCCTTGCCGCAGCCACAGGGGACAGGCTGGGGCGGGGCTTCCTGTGTTTGCCACACCATTGCCCCTACCCGCAGCTCTGCACAGAGGATGTGAAGGACTTTCTGGAGCACATGGCTGTTGTGAGGATCAACAGAGGCTGGGAGTTCATACTGCCTTACGATGGGGAGTTCATCAAGAAGCATCCAGATGTGGTCCAGCGACAGCACATGCTGTGGACGGGCATCCAGGCCAAGTAAGAGCTTGCTGGGCAGGAGGGCCCACCAAGGAGAGGAGAACTGGGCCATCCCTGGCCACCCTGCCTCCAGGAAGCACAGCCGGGCTGCACCTGGGGTGGTACATGCCTCCTTCCACTCAGGTGGTTGCTGCTGACTGACCCCCCAACCTCCAGCACAGGCCCGGCCCACTCCCTGCAGATCTGAGCTGATGCGTGAGGGGAATTTTGGGGGGGTGTCCTGAGGCCGGATGTGAGGAGGGAGGGAAGGCACTTAGGAGCAAGAGCTAGGCTCAGGTCCCTCAGGGCAGGCAGGATGGAGGCTGGCTAGGGACGCACATGCTGGGGGGACTGGGGAGGACATGGGAACTCCGAGCACGAGGCATCCTCAGTGACCAGGCTGTCGCAGGCCTTCAGGGTGCTGCTGTTGTGAGACCAATGAGGGCACTTGTACAGTTCAGTTTAACTCTTCTTTTCAGATTAGAAAAAGTCTATAATCTCGCGAAGGAAACCATGCCAAAGAAGCCGGATGGACAGTCAGGTGTGTGAGGGGCTTTGGACTGGCTCCTGGAGGGCTGCTGTGCCAGAGCTCGTCAGGGCTTGGGCCTGGAGGGGGGCGTAGGGCCCTCGCCACTGGCCACCTCCTGTGCCCTCCTCTCACTTCCCCACTGACCTCAGCTGAGGCTTGTCCAGTGGCCAAAGTCTCAGCCCCAGGGACTGAGGGCTTCTGGACTCCAGGGCTGTGTCAGATTCCAGGCCCCTGAAACCTGCTCACCCGCTCCGATTTTCCCCAGTTCTATTTCTTGCCTCACTGCTGGGGTTGCTAAATCCATCTTGGGTAAGGTGGGGTAAAAGGCAGGACTGTGCCTCTTGCTTCAGCCCTAGCTGCCTGCGTTTTTCCTGTCCCCTTCCTCTGAATAGCAGAATGTCCCCTCTCAGGATGAAAGAGATTTTCCCGGGGCAGAGGGACCTTGAGCCTTTGTCTCAGGCCCTTCTCTGCATGGACTCTGCATCTCCTGAGTAGTGCTGCATCTTCCACAGGGCCTGTTGGGCTGGTCTCTGGGGAACAGCGAGTCCAAGTAGCCAAAAGCAAGGCCCAGCAGAACCACGCACTGCTGGAACGGGAGCTGCAGCGGAGGAAGGAGCAGATCCGGACGTCCACCGTCCTACCTGGTGTGCAGATCAAGGAGGAGCCCATGAGTGAGGAGGGAGAGGAAGAGGAAGAGCGAGGAGCAGAGGAAGACAAGGAGCCCATGGACACCTCCCCCAGTGGTGGCCTCCACAGCAGGCTGCCCAATGGGCTGCCTGCTGGGCGGGCAGGAGGAGGAGGCAGCTTCAACGGGCACCCGCCACCAGGCTGTGCCAACACTCCCGTGGCTCGGGAACTGAGGGCCTTCGTGGAGGCCACTTTTCAGAGACAGTTTGTGCTCACGCTGAGCGAACTCAAGCGCCTCTTCAACCTGCACTTGGCCAGCCTTCCCCCTGGCCATACGCTCTTCAGTGGCATCTCAGACCGCATGCTGCAGGACACAGTGCTGGCTGCCGGTTGCAAGCAGATACTGGTGCCTGTAAGTAGAGCCTGTGTCTGCCAAACAGGCAGCCAAACCAGGGCACCCTCCACCCCTCAGGAGGGCTGCTGGGTGGGCAGCATCTTTCCTGGCAGAAGGGAGCTCTAGAGACAAGTCTGGCTGCCTGGCATGGCCTGCACCTGCTTGCTTTGGGGGAACCAGCTGTTCGGAGGCTGCATGGGGCATGGAGATGCAGGAGGACGTAGACCTTGGTTTGGATCTTGGCCATCACGTGGCTGTGTGTGACCTCAGGCTTCTTGGGCTCTGTATCCCCACCTGCTATGGGCAAGTGTTCACTTTTGTGTCTTAGGACTTGGATAAGGGCTGAATGAGGTGTCTGAAGGCGTTAACTGGTTGCTTGGCATAGAGCAGGGCCTCAGTATGTGCAGATTGCCATCCTGATTTCTAGCCACCCTCTGCCCCTGTGGCATCTCTCATTCCTGTCAACTTTGCCATTTTTCAGAGTGATTTCACTTATCTAGTATCATTTGATCTTTACAACCTGCAGATGAAGAAACAGAGTATCAAAGCAGTGAAATGAACTTGTTCAAAGGTTATATACCCAGGAAGTGATAAGAGCTGGAATTGGAAGCTCAGAATAGTGGCTTCAAGCCTTAATCCTTTCTGCTTCACCTAAGACAAACTGGCCCTTTCACCAGAGCCCCCCCCAGCTTGTGCCTGGGTCCTGGGGGACCCCCTGCCCATAGAGATCAGCTGACCAGCATGGGCTCTGTGGCCTTGCAGGCAGCATTTCTGGTGCCAGGCCCAGGGTGAGCCACCCACTGCTTCCTGTCACTGAAGGGGCCCCTGGGAGGGGAAAGTGCAGGAGCAGAATGTGTGTGTGTTGGAGAACCCACCCTTAGCTGAGGGTGAAGAGTGCCATGCTGTGGCCTCGGGGGACTGCTGGCTCTTTCCTCCCAAGCTTTGCCCCCACCTGGCAGCAGACGGGGCAAGGTGAGGCTGTGGCTGCAGCTGCCTATTAACAAGGAGCGTTGATGTTTGCAGTCTAAGGTCAGAAGCACCTGCATGCAGCCTTGGGTGACCTGAGGCGAATGCCTAGCCCTGTGTATGTAAGGAAGGGAAACCAGGCTGCCTTGGCTGTCTCAGATCTGGCCCTCATGGCGGGGAGCCTCCCATGCCCACCCAGCCAGTGGCTGAGCTATCTGCAGGCTTGCTGGAGCTGGGCCAGGCTGGGATGGCCTGCCTGATGTTAGCTAGGCTGTCTGGGTGGCTGGAGTGAACATAAGGTGAGGGATGTGAATGAGCGGCCCTCACACCCTGCCCTGCTTCTTGGGGCTGGTGTGTATGGGCCATGGCCCTCTCTCTGCCCCCACGATCCCTGGACCACAGTCATGTCCGCGGGGAAGAGGCTCCAGATCTGTTCAACCTCATGTTTTCACACGTGAGCCAAGGCCCAGAGAGGGCAGATAGACATGCTGAAATTGAGTTTGACTCCTGGTCCTGCTGCTTACTAGCTCTGGGACCTTGGGCAGTAACCAATCTTCTCTGAACTGGATTTTCCTTATTACTTGTGTTGTGGCATCAAGACCAGAACCCACTCTACCAGGTGCCCCCTGCCTCTGTCCCCCTTTCTGGGTACCCAGAGCTCTGTCCACCCTTTTCTTGGCCTACCTTTGGATCCTGCTGAACCAAGTGGTATGAGAGTCGGACAGGGCCTCTCTTTAATACTGACATAGCCCTTTTGGGAGGGGACTGAAGGGAACCCTCAGGAGTGTCCTGAGGAGCTGGGGGGTGGGGATGCTTCTCAGGACACACCTGAGGGCTGGGATTTGCAGGACACTGGATCGTAAAACAGAGAGGTGAGCCAACACCAGGCTGGTGGGAGAAAGAACGTGTCTCCCTACCTGAGGAGCATGTGCGGGTGCAGGCTGGTGCGCATGCTCCTCTCTCACCAAGCCCTCTCAGGCCCTGGTGGGGTGCGGCTGGCCCACGGTGGGGACAAGGAAACATGCAGGTGCGTGGTTCCCCGCAGCCCCGCAACTCATGAGTGGCAGAAGCTGGCACTGGAACCCACCCTCCTGATCCGGGCTGGTGCAGACTGGGCAGGATGAGGGGGCAGTGGGGGTGGTCCACATGGTGAAGAAAGTCAACAAGCTCATGCCTGGGCCTTGGTTAGTTTCCCCCACAGACGGCTGCTTCCCCAGATGAGCAGAAGGTGTTCGCGCTCTGGGAGTCTGGAGACATGAGTGATCAGGTGAGGTGACCTCTGCTGCCATCTTCCCCCAGAGCAGGGAGTCAGGCAGTCCTGGAGTTGTGAGGCCTTTGGGGAGACCCAGAGTTTCCAGCTGCTGATTTTAAATATTCTGGCTACATGTCCCTGTCGTCTGAGGGCTGGGATTTAGGATTACTGTCAGAACAGGCTGGATGTGCCAGTGGGCTGAGCCAAAACCAGTGGTTCCCAAATGCTAGTCTGGCAGCTGCATCAGAATCGCCTTTTTAAAGAATGCAGATTCCAGAGACTAGAACGTGAGCTAAGGCGGCAGCGCTGTTTGTCTAGTCCATCACAGGCCCTGAGGTCCACAAGGTTTCCTCAGTTATGAACTTGCTTGAACCTTAAAGATTAAGATTTAACTGCTAAACGCCAGTTAGTCCGTCCTCTTCCAGAGCCTGTTTGTAATGTATGGGGAGAAAGGGAGTGAACAAAAGCCCCCGCTGAGCTCTTTGCCCCCTTTTGCCTCTTAGAAGGGGACTGGATGGCAGGCTGAGAATATAAAGGGGGATAGAGCCTTCCAGTGCCCCCATTACCTGTGGGTCCAGAGCAGTGTGGAGCTGCTCTCCCAAAAGCTCTGTGCTTTTGGCCAGAATAGCTCGCATCTGGGTTTCTTACTGAAAAGTACTCTGATAAAGGAAAAAAATTAGTTCATATTTTGAGAAAATAAGACTGAAAGCTTTATGGAAATAGTCTCTTGCCCTGCCTGACCCAATTCCCACTCTTCAGAGGCAGTTACTTTTTAACTACAAGGTACCACCAAAAGGGTTACCTCTGTTTTAAAAATACACAAAACATACTGCTGTTTGATGTCTCAACTTGATATTTCAATGGGTTTCCTGAAGTGGTGGATGATGGCTTAGCTCTCAGCTGTGTTGGCAGAACATAGACAGGAGTGGGCTGTCATGACGGTTTCTTTGTGAAATCGGGTTTCAGTGCTTATAGCATCAGGGCTGTAGGGCCGAAGAGGAGTAGTATAATATGATACATTTCTTTTTATATACTACTTCCTATTTTCACGTGCATGGTTTTCTGAACACACAGTTACCAATGGCAATACTGCTCAGAGTGGTACCCCGCAGGACAGGCTCTTTATGCTGGCTTGGGGAACCTTGTGTCGCCCTCCTTGCTTAATTTTAGTCCCTGGAGGCAGGGTAGTTGTCTGCATTCTTTCATGTCTTAAACAGCTTTCTTCTGTCCTCAACTGTTGTCCGGGGCTAGAATTTTAGAAAGTAATCATTTTCCCTCTGAATTTAAGATACTTTTCCATTCAGCCTTTTAGAGTTGTTGTTCAGTGACATTCTGCTTCTCAGTTTTTTTAATTTGCCTCGAATTCTTCACTTTATCCCAAACTTAAGGTTTTTTTCCTTATTCTGTATATTGTTCATCAATGCAATTCAGATGTACTGTGGGGTAGTCATTATTATATTGGACCATTGGGTCATTCTTTGGAAATTCTGTGATTTGAGAATTCCTTTACCTGATTTTTTTTCCTATTTTTTCAGAATTATTGTGTGATATATTGGATCAAGTCTTTTCTTAATACCTTTTTTGCTTTTGGGGGAATTTCAGCTGTTTTTATTTTGGGATGTAATGCTTCTCTTGGTGTCCTGTTTCCTGGATGCCATGTGAGGTTTATCAAGACTTGAAGCCACTCATATCTATGCAGTTTAGATGCTTTCTTCGTGTAGGGCCTACATGCTAAATCATTTATCACTCCTGTTTTTTTTTATCATGAAAAAGGATATCTAAAGTGCTTATCCTCAGACGCTTCACCAGCTCTTTTGTTCTTGTGGGCATAGACTTCTATTTCGATACTTTTGTTGGGGACTCGAGAGATGACAAATTGACAAAATGTATTCAGAAGTCTGCAGCATGGAGTTAGAGCCATAGCTTTGGATTTTTTTTGTCTTGGGAGGGTTCTCTTTTAGGTGATTATTTCCCATAATAACATATTTTTGCTACTAAAGCATCGACAGGTTTTGCTTGAAATTTTTTCCAAAAATTACCGAGTACGCCGGAACATGATCCAGTCTCGGTTGACTCAAGAGTGTGGAGAAGATCTAAGTAAACAAGAGGTGGACAAAGTACTAAAGGTACATCTGTTTTGTGTGTAGTAATATGCACGGGCTATGGCTTCTGCTCTGACCATAAGCTTAAGCATGTGGGCATCCGGCACTGACTCTTCCCTGTCTTAGATGGAGGCTGTTAAATCAGGCTTCCTCTGGACCCCTCCCCATTAGGTCTTCAGCAACTGATTGGTATGGTGGGTATATACAAGTGGACTAAATTGAGTAAGATACAGACTCCATCTTCAAAATATGTAGTCGGGTGGGTCATGCTACAGAATCCTGACTCTACTCCCACCTGTACCACTTTCATAATTCTTACATAGCCAAATACTAATTCTTATACTGCTTGCTTTCACAGAATCAATTTTCAAATTAACATTTAGCTAGTATATGAAAATACTTAAGAATGCTTTTATGGACAGTTGACCCTTCAAAAGTGCAGGGGTGCCAACTCCGACAGTCGAAAATTCCACATACAAGTTTTGACTCCTCCAAAACATTTTCCAATATATTGAAAAATATATGCATGTATGTGGACACATACAGTTCAAACCTATGTTCTTCAAGGGCAGCCTTACCATATTTACAGAAACTTCTGGAACACAAAGAGCTGATGAGTTGCCTTATGTTCTTATCTAGTATCTAAAACATCCAAGGCCATATAAGTGCTAATATTATGAAGCACCTTTGTCCTGTACAGTATAACCATTTTTGTTTGTAAAGTATGTTCATTTATAGTTCCTCACAAGACACCCTGAGGAGAGGGAGGCATGGGGTGGCAGGGGAGTCTGAGGCCCACCACTGAAGAGAAGAGGCAGGTCTTGTTTCCCATTTGTGCCCTACCCATTATTCCAGCTTTGATGTTCAGCACAGAATGAGTAGCTACCTGTATTCTCTCTCCATTCACAGGACTGCTGTGTTAGCTATGGTGGCATGTGGTACCTTAAAGGGACAGTACAGTCTTGACAATAGTCACAAACCACTAACCCAGTGACCCCGAGCCCAAGGAAAGATGGTAGAGCCAGCAGAGGTGGACATAGAGGCTCAGCTGCTTCAGAAGACATGGAGCAAGAACTGACCATCTCGTGACCACTGGCACTGCACCGTCTGGTGGATGGAGGGCATCTCCTCAGCCAGTGGCAGTGTGTTAGACTGCTCACAGGAGAGACCTGCCAGGACCTTCTTTCCAGTACATTATGAAATTCCTGACATTATGTTGCTTATTATTTGGTTTCATTCTCACAATAAAGAGAGTGAATATTGACATGGGCAGGATGATGGAAATCATGGTTTAATATTTACTTTTCAAACTTAATGCCAACAAGGTCTAAGTTATGTTTATAAGATGAAGAAAACTTAAGGTTCTAAATATTTAAAATGCCTAGAAGCCAATATTAGTCTTCAATTATCTATTGTCTGCTAAGACTTCTGCCAATTTCATTTAACAAACCAAATTGAATTATTTTACTGTTGGGTTTCTGTGGCCACTTTACCTTTCAAAACCTACTTTATGTAGCAGTTGCCGCTGTTTACATGAACCATAGCAAAAAATCATAATGAAACCCATCTAGTCTTGATGTCTGCATAAGGATGCAAACAGAACCAGGTAAGTATGGAACAATGTATAAGTGAGAGTATCACACTTCGATGTAAAATTTTATATTTTGTGTATTTTTTAAAATAAATGCTAACACTAACCTGGCATCATGGTGCTGCTGTCTTCCAATGGTTACAAGAAGGCAGTGGTGTCTGTGCTTTCAGAGCTGGGCACGTAACACCCAAGGGAAGGGAGCCAGCGGGGCGAGGACTCCTTAGAGCAGTGCTGCCCAGTAGAGCTGTGAGGTCACATATGTGATTTTTAAGTGTTCTAGTAGACACATTAAGATAGTAAAGGAAAAAAAGCCCAATATAACTAAAATATTTTACATTGTACTAGATCTGGTACATTCAGGATCTGGTATCTTTTGTACAACACTTGTAGTTTGGACCAGCCCCAATTTAAATGCTCAGTTGCCACATGTGGCTAGAGGTGTGACCTTAATGGACAATGCAGCTCTAAAGGATCATGAGAAAAGAGTAAGCTGAGTTTGCCAGATATGGAATTTTGCTACATAAGGCTTTCGCCAGGATGGGTTATGGCCAATGGCACCTCTGCTTTCTGAAGGTTTAGATGGTCTATGCATGCACCGCAACCTACCAAAAAAAATCCAATATTTGATAGTTTAACAGATTGCTTGTATATTATCTTCTTGGTTCTAATTGTTAACATACATGAACCTAAGAGTAGAGTCTGTGGGGAGTCACAGCCTTAAATACACTGATAAAGAGGGGTGAGTTACACATTGAATTCAAATAGCTAGGAAAATAACCTTAAGGAACATAGGAGGAAATAATTATTTACATTAATTTTTACCTCAATTTTTTGGAGATAACAACCAGTGAAGGAAAATTATACAAGCCTGAATAAACAGTGAAATGGAAACGTTACAGAACAATTAGATGATTTATAAAGAAAACATGAATTTTAAAACCAGTTGGAAAAAAAGCATGATATGAATAAAAATGAAAAAAACCCACACAATGTGGATTCCAGTGGCATGTTAAAGAACCCTGCCTTACCACATCTATGCAAGGGTGATGATACTAGGAAGAACCACCTTAACAGAGATGTAAGAGCGACAGAACGGCATGTTAGTATCCTGCACCCGATGAACAGGCCAACAGAAAACCACCACCTCAGGGATCAAGGTACACAATTCATTCCAGATACAAGTTTTTAAAATAGGAGTGGATGGGTATTTCATTAACAATTAAATAAAAAGCTAACATGCTAAGTCAAACATTGAACATATTCCTTAGGATTGAAACAGATGTATTTACTCATATCCTTGGTATACTAGTTAGAGCAGTTAGACAATAAGAAAAATAGTATTGGGTCAAAATGTTTTTTCAGGTACATGAACAGAATCAAGTAAAAGCTATTCTCAATGAGCATTTAATAAGATACCTGGAATCAATAGCATTCCTATATCAACTAATTAGAAAATAGAAGAAAAGATCTTACTTGAAACCTCCAGATGAACCTTTTAAAATCTGGACCTAAATGATAAAAATTTGAAAGTTTACTGAGAGACAAAAGACTATTTGAACAAATGGGAAGGCGTAAACCTTGGATCAAAGTCTGTATCAGGCTGTACTTAATTTAACCTATTTCTTTAACTTGATCCCAATAAAAGTAACAGTTTTTCCCCATGAACCAGACAAGCTAAATTTAAAGTGTATATTGTTTTAAAAAAATGCAAAACAATCCAGAAAATTCTGAAGGCAGTGAGGGTAACTTCCTCTTAAAAGTTTAGAAAACATACTATCAAGATATATGGCAATTAAGAATTGCCCTTGGTGCATGAAAATCAGATCCTAGAACAGAATTAGGTTCCAATTCATGTAAAATTTAGTATTGATTCCAATGATATTGCAAGTGATGGGGAATAGAAGTTTAGGGAGATTTTTGGAAAGAGGGCTGGGTAGGAAGCACCAGGCATCTGTCTCCCCACCTAGACAAAAGTTGCACTGGTAGAATCTGGCTGGCAGTCTGTAAAGGCTTGCAACTTCCATGGGAAAACATGAACTGTAAATTGTGATTAATTTCAGTCAATTTCAGTCCTCAGCTGGGTAGACACTCCCGGCTTCCCACCCTAGCCACTTCTCCTGGAGCGGCTTGCAGGAGCCAGGTGGGCAAGACACAGTGCTGATTTGCTGCTTATGATTAGAGGTGCAAAGAGGTGGGCAGCTCTTGTTGCAGCCCCTCCAAGTATCTAAAGGACTGACATCTTTCCCCCCTACCCTTCATTGCTTCTTCGGGGAGCCAGGTTTTAACAACTAGAATATTCTAAACAACCGTATATATGGGGAAAATTAGAAAGTGATCATGCATGCCCAGAGAAAGTCTCAGAAAAGAGCTGAGAAGACCTTAAGTTACTCAGACTGATCCTTGGCATGGACAAAGCCAACAAGCTAAGAAACAAGAATAACTAAAAAAATTTAAGCAAACCCAGGGGAAGGGGGTATCTGATTTCCAAAGTTACTATATTATCAGCTTCAAATGTCATGTTCAACAAAAATACAAGGCAAGCAAAAACAGGAAAGTATGGGCCATCCAAAGGAAAAAATAAATCAACAGAAACTCCCTCAAGACCCAATGGCAAATGTGCTAGACAAAGACTAAGACAACTGTTTTAAGGATGTCCAAAGAACTAAAGGAAGATGTGGAGAAAGTCAAGAAAACAATGTGTGAACAAAATTATTAATAGAGTTATAAAAAAAATCTGGAGTGCAGTGGAAATTATAATAATTGAAATGAAAATTGCACTAGAGCCATTCAAAGGCAGATTTGAGCAATCACCGAACTTCAATATAGGACAATAGAAATTGAGACTGAGGAATGGAAAGAAAAAGGAATGAAGAAAAAAAAAGAGAGCCTAAGGGGCCTGTGGGACACCATCAAACAGACCAACACTGCTGTTGTTGGAGTCCCAGAGAAGAGAAAAGGGAGAATATTTTGAAGAAATAATGGCTGAAAACTTCTCAAATTTGATGAAAGACATGAATACCCAAGAAGTTCAATAAGCTCCAAGTAAGATAAACTCAGAGACCCACGGAGGGTCCACCTGGCTCCTGCAAGCTGCTCAAGGAGAAGTGGCTAGGGGTGGGAAGCCGGGAGTGGCTACCCTGCTGAGAACTGAAATTAATCACAATTTACAGTTCATGTTTTCCCATGAAAGTTGCAAGCCTTTACAGACTGCCAGCCAGATTCTACCAGTGCAACTGTTGTCTAGGTGGGGAGACAGATGCTTGGTGCTTCCTACCCAGCCCTCTTCCCATACATCAACCTTTCAAAAGATAAAGAGCCAATCCTGAAAGCAGCAAAAGCAGAGTGAATTGTCACAAACAAATGATTCTCTAAGATAATAGATTTCTTGTTAGAAATTTGAGGCCAGAAGATATTGAGGCCAATACATGCAAGGTGCTAAAAAAGGAAAACTGTTGACCAACAACCCTGTATCCAGCAAACTGTCCTTCAAAAGTTAGCAGAAAGTAAAACACTCCCAGATAGAAGCTTAGGGAGCTCATGACCACCAGAACTGCTCTGAAAGAAATGCTCAAGGGAGCCCTGCAAGGTGAAATAAAAGGACACTAGACAGTAACTCGAAGCCAAACAGAAAAATAAAGAATTCAATAAAGGTACATACATGGGCAATTACAAAAGCTAGTATTATTAAGACAATGGTTAATAACTACTTGTTTTCTCCATGATTTAAGAAACTAATGCATTTAAATAAAAAACCCCACCCACAATTTACTAGTGTGAGAGGTAGTATTACTGCAACTTTGATTTGTAACTCAGAATCATGTTTTCTACATAATTTAAGAGACTAATGCATTTAAAAGAATTGCGAGTTTTTTTGGTACACAGTGTATAAAAAGGTAATTCTGTGACATCAGTGATCAAGTAGGGAGATGAAGTTACTGAAATGAATGTATGAATTCAAATTAGTGTTATAACTTTAGGATGTTAAATGTAATCCCCATGGTAACAACAAAGAAAATAGCTGTAGAATATACACAAAAGGAAATTTCACTACAAAAAAATCACAGAAGACAGGAATGCAGGAAATGAAGGACAAAAAGTTATATGGTATATAGAAAACAAAGAGTACAACGACCTAAGTCCCTGCTAATCAGTAACTACTCTATAAATAGATTAAACTCCACAATCAAAAGACAGAGAATGGCAGAATGGATAAAAATATATGCTCCAACTAGGTGCTGTTTACAAGAGACTCACTTGAGATCCAAAGACACACAAACAGGTTTAAAGTGAAAGGATAGAAAAAGATATTACATGGAAATAGAACCAAATGAGAGTGGGGGTGGCTATACTAAATATACAACAAGAAGATATAACAATTATAAACATATATGTGCCTAATGAGAGACCATCAAAATATATGAAGGGAAAACTGATAGAATATAAGACAAATAGATGGTTCTAAACCAATAATAGTTGGGAGACCTCAGTACTCCACATACCAGAAGACAGAAGATAATTAAGGAAAGAGGACTTAATAAACCAACTAAATCTAACATATAAGGAACACTCTACAACAGAATACCATTATTCTCAAGTGCACATGGAACACATTTTCCAGGATAGACCATATGTTAGGCCAAAAGTTAAGTCTCAATAGATTTAAAGTATCTTCCTGATCACAACAGATTAATTTAGAAATCAATAACAAAAATAAAACTAAAAAATTTACAAATTTTAGATATTAAATAGATTTTTAAACAACCAATAGATCAAAGAAGAAATTACAAGGGGAATTAGAAAATATTTAGAGACAAATGAAATGAAAAACGACATACCAAAACGTGTGGAACACAACACTAAGGGGAAATTTTATTGCTATAAATGCTTATGTTAAAAAACAAGATACCAAATCTGTATTTAATTTTACAACTTAACTAGAAAAATAAACCCAAAGCTACTAGAAGGAAATAATAAAGATTACAGTAGAGATAAACAAAATAGGGAGTAGAAAAATAGAGAAAAATCAATGAAACCGAAAGTTTTCTTTGAAAAGGTTTTTTAAAAATTGACAAACCTTTAGCTAGGTGAACCAAGAATAAAAGAGAAAACTC